CCCGAGTCTGATCATGATGGGCTCCAGTAGCAGCTCAAGGCTAACTCGGCCTTCTATCCTTCCTATGGTACGTTCTTTTTTTATTGCTTTTTAAATCCACATGAGCTAGCAGCTTTGGGACTGAAGCGAGGAACACGAATTGCATGTCCTGTCAATAGCACCCATTGAACAGCTGAGTTCTCTACTCCTTTCTCAACCTGAATATTGCCAGCACTGCAGAGACACGATGCATTGCTGAAGCAGTGGTTGCCTGAGGTTTTGTGCTTTTTAAAAAGAGACTGCCCCAAACTTTCCCCTCCATCTTTTGTCTCAAAGGATGTACTGTATGTGGGGAGAAGATTGCTGTCTCAATCCTAGTCTTTCACCTTAAGAACTGTTCTTGTATTTTTAGTATGCTCATCTTGCTGCTGGTTTTATTTTCTACTATCTACACACTTTTTTAATATATATTTTTAATGCATTGTGTGCGGGGTGGATAAAAATCAATGCCTTTTTAAAACCAATTTGATTTAAATCACAATGTAAATAACAAAAAAAATCATTTTATCTAAATTGTTTAAAAACTCCACTTTTAAAAAAATTTAAACCATGATTTACTGTATTTTTTGCACCATAAGACTCACTTTTTTCCCACAAAACAGGGGTGTGGAAAGTCTGTGCGTCTTATGGAGCGAAGAAAAATTTTAAAAAAATTTAAACCATGATTTAGCTCAAATCCACTGTGATTGTGCACTGCCTAGAAAACTAGCTACTGAGTGGTTTAGAGGTGCACTAAACAATGAAAACAGAAAACCGATGTCAGGGCACTGAACCAACAGAGGACTACACAGCCAAAAACACACTTATAGTTGACATATAGACAAACATACACACATCAGATACTAGATACTTTGCCAGTAAAGGGGCTCCAGCATTATTACAAAGGAAGAAAACATACTTTGAACCTTGGTAATAATTTTCCCCTAACTTGATACCTTCCAAATGAACTGGACTGATAACGCTAATAATACCTAATCATTGGCCCTGTTGTTCAGGGATTCTGGGAGTTGTAGTTCAACACATCTGAAAGATTCCAGTTTGGGAAAGGTACACAAAGTACACAAATTCTCCCCAGTTTATTTTCATTTTTAAAATGCATAATTTGCTAGGTAGCAGCAAAAAGCAAATGGAAAAGGTACATTTTTGTTTATTTCTACAATGCATTAGTCTCCCTACAGCTAATAACTTTCAAGGTGATATATAACAAAAAACAAACAAAAACTCCAACAGATGCTGGATCCAAACATTATAAAGCAATTAAGTACAATTTATTAAGCAGCAATTAAAGGGAATTAACACTAAAACATGCACTGCAAGAAAATATAATACTGCAGGAATGAACTTAAAACATAACAGTAAAAAGAACTGCAGTGTACATAAATCGGCCAGCCCATCTCTACCTCCTCAGGCAGCCAACCACTCTGTCAAGGAGGCAGAACAGGAATTCTCCCCACACAGGCAACAAGTGGTCAGCTGCCAGAGGAGGCAGGGACAGGATGGCCAAGCTCTTGCCTGGATTGGAGTGCCGAAGGAGAAAAAGGTCCCTGGCAGCACATGAAGAAGGGTGAGTGTGCCGGCCAGCTGGAGGTGGGTGGGAGATGGGCCAGCATGGCACCTGTGGTGCCACGCTTCGTGCTTCGTACAAAGCTGTATGAAGCACGAACCACCCATCACTAGTTGAAATGTTATGCCACTCTAATGTTCAATTCAGAAAATCCTGTTGTCTACAAGAAGGTGGTGGTGGTGGTGATGGCGATGTTGAGTTCATGAATTATTCATGTGACAAATATACATGCTATCCAAAACCACAATACATTATCATCACTTGCTGAGTTATTATATACATAATTGCCTCTCATCAAGTAAGTCCAAAGCATAAGACACAGTCTGGGAAGAGCTTAGGCTATCAAGCAAGCTACAGTGGGGTCTGTGTCACAAAGCTTCCCATTTTCCTGACTGGATCAAATGCAAAAAAACAGGTAGATGTGGGTCAGAAAGGCAAAGCACAAAACAACAAACTTGAACTACCTGGCAAGGACCCACAGAATAGACTGGTGCCCCACTTTGGTTCGGAATGACTAGGACCTGATCTGCAGTGGATCTGAACCAACATTTTGAAATCCAAATCTTTATACATAGTAGGGATGTGTGCTTTAGACAACAAGAGCTGCCATGCTTGGTCAAACTGATGGTTCGCTTGGAGCAAGCATCGCACAGAAACGCACACTGGACACTTCTGCCCACTCCTCACTGTGTTCCCTAACAAAGAGCCCTTGACTGTCCCAAGGCAGACCTAGAATCTGTCATCTCCAACAACAAGTAGGATCTAATGACTTTGTAGCCATGTTTCAAGACTTTGAGAGCCGGGGGGGGGGGGTTCTTCATCTCTCAGCCACTCCTTTTCCACAAAGATATCATGACACAAAAATACTCCTGCAAAATTGGTTTGAGCCCCTGAAAGGGTGATTTGTAGATGTAAAATATTTATCTTTATTTATTTAATTTATTTAAAAGGACAAATGACTGCCAAGACGGCAAGTTGCTTAAGTGTGGCAGATTCCTCACTATCTTCAGATTAGGCTCCCCACATTGACTTCTCCGTTGAAGAACCAGTCTACTGAGGGTCCTTTGGCATTTTCAAAACTACAGGCTCAACTGATGGAGCATTCCCAGCCCCCAGGAAAAGACATATCTTCCACACAGCTCTACAGCTATGCAATACCAGGATCATTAGTAGGAGGCATAACATCTGCATAGAAAAGCACCTATCTTTCCAGGAAGCCTTCCTACTACAGTATTATTCACCTACTCCATGGGACTCAAATCCTTGGATTACTCCTCGAAAAGCCTTAGGTAAATGGTTGCCACACTCTCCTAGTGGGTTAACAAAAGTTCATTTACATGACCAAAGGATAGCTACTGCAAACTTGTCCAGAACCAGAAACCTCTAAGGTTGAGACTATGAGCATTCATTAAAGCGCCAGCCACCACTTTCCTTCCACATCTAGGACAAAGGAAGATATTAAGAATGATCTTGGGAGCTGGTAAGGAAAGGAAGCTTCCTCTAGGGAAGGTGCTTCTCTATGCAGACTGCAGCAAAACAAAGCAAAAAAAAAAAAGGAAATGAACACAGCACACAACTGAAGTCAGTCTCTGGGACAGAATATATTCAGTTTTCATCCGCTGCAGCAGAGGCTGCAGCTTGGCAAGCTTTTAACTCAGTCAGTGCTGCTGAAATGCATGAACTGCAAAAGCCGAGCTGTGCTAGCAGAGGAGAGGTGAGAGCAGGGTGGGAATTCCTCCACCTCTGATGCCCCCAGCAATTTCTTCCCACCTGTCAATCAAGGAAATGCATGGGGGGGGGGTACAAACAAGTGAGCATGCCCAGTGATCCTGATTACATCAGCTTGATCAATGCTGAGAACTGGAAGGCTGCAGCAGCAATGAAGGGAAGCTACTGGAAGAGTTAATTGGGGTTGATTCTACGTATTCAGTTCTCCACCATCCCCCTTCTTGCTGCAGTTTGGAAAACAGGGAACACAGCCAAGTGGGCCCTTGCTTGGCAGTTTTCTCCCTGCAGAAGTCATCCGAAGGAGGTCAAAGAATATTTTGTTGCATGATACCAGTATTTTATAAAGGTAAGCATTACATATGAGTCTACTAGCACAACCCTGAGTGTAGTCCCAGCGAGTTATATGGGCCTTATTTCCATGTAGGTGTCTACAGAGCACTGCAGCCACGTTACAGCACTCTTCAACAAAGCTTTGTAGTGGAATACACAAGAGAAATTCTTGCATTTCATTTTTTTTTTTTTTACCCCACTGTTAGCCAGTACCCATCTGCCAACTAAGAATAACATTCCATCTTCCTCTATGCATGGTCCCTGGCCTGCAGGTATTCAATAAATGTTCATCTTTTAAACAAGCCACATGACTCTTTGTTGTGGGTCCTACCCCAGCCCCCACAGCAGCAGAGAGAAAGAAACTTCTCTCACACAAGGAGCACTTGTATTCCAAGCGCTTTGATCTCTCTCCATCTATATATTTATTCCTCCATACCCAGTGTCCCTTGGCTCTTTTCAGTACTTACATGCAAACATGCAAATATAATCCTTAGGATCTGCATCTCATACATACACACACGTGGTACAGAAAAATAAAAATTAAACAAGGGTGGGCAATATCTTTATTGCACCAATTAAATCTCAGAAACAGACCGGAAAGCACGCCCGCTTCTGTGACTTTAGCCGTCTAATAAAGATGCTACACCCATCCTTGCTTTCAGATATAGGTGCAAGTATAACTGTTGTGTGAAAGGTGCAAGAACAACTCTGACTCTGTTGATCTTTTAAATCCACAGAGGGATTGTACACCTATGCAAGAGGGCATCCTTCCGCCCTTTCTATCCTGGCTTGCTCATTCCGACGAAAGGAAGGAATGATTATTCACTTTCGGGACCCCAATTCAAGTCTCCAAGTTTGAGAGCGTACGGGGGAGGGAGACAGAGAGGGAAAGAAGCCTGTCAGAGAGGTGCACCCTCGTCCCATGC